AGCTCACCTCAGCCTCCCAAGGTTCTGGGATTACAGGTGTGAGCCACTGTGTCTGGCCACTAATTTTTGTATTTTTTAGTAGAGACAGGTTTTCACCATGTTGGTCAGGATGATCTCAATCTCTTGATCTCATGATCCACCCGCCTTGGCCTCTCAAAGTGCTGGGATTACAAGTGTGAGCCACCATGCCCGACCCTTTTTTTTTTTTTAGATATGGGGTGTCACTATGTTGCCCAGGCTGGTCTGGACACCTGGGCTCAAGTGATCCTCCTGCCTTGGCCTCTCAAAGAGCTGGGATTACAGGCAGAAGCCACTGTGCCCAGCTGAGTGTCTTTTTCTAACTTGCACATAAGTACAGTATGGGATAGTGTCAGCCCTTAAGGTTGGGATTATCCAGAGCCCTACTTACAAATGAGGAGACTGAGGCCCAGAGAAGTGAAGGGGTTTGTTCCAGGCCACAGATAAGAAACCTTGGGAGTGGGGACTTGGACTTATGCCCTTACCCATAGATACCAGGTCACTTTGTCCCCACTGTGTGTCCTGCTGAGACTCTAGGCTGCTTCAGGTTGGAGCTATCTGTGATTGGGTCTGAGCAGGGACCATCTGTGGGAACTGCTGTGTTGCAGCTACAGTACCTGCTGGATCCTCTGGGGTCCCAGCTGTGAGTGGCCAGCCAGGGCCGTTGCCGGCCCTATGAAGGACATCCCCAGAGACCTGTCCCCCTCTTTCTCCTGGAGTTACTACAGGGAGCTTGTGCTCAGCACCCTACCACAGCCTGAGCCTTGGAGGACACGGGCTCCCAGGTGCACCCAGAGAGGCTGGGTAGAGAGAGGGAGGGAATAGTCTTCAGCTCCAACTCCCAAACCCCAAGCCTTTTCTTCCCTCTAGGCCAGAGGACCCCACCTGGAGCCCTATGAGCCAAGGGGAAGAGGTAAGGAGGAGGAAAGGTAAGATCTGAAGTCTCTGAGCTCTTGGGCAGGGAGTTGGCTAAATTGCCCCACCTGCCCCCATTCTCACTGTCCTTTAGATACTCCCTCTTCTCTCTTCTTCCAGGAAGGGACAGAGAAGTTACACAGGTATTCTCCTTTTTTTTTTTTTTTTTTTTTTTGAGACGGAGTCGTTGCTCAGCCTTCACCCGAGGGCTGGATTGTGGTGAGCGAATCTTGGCTTACTGCAAGTCGCCTTCCCGGGTTCTCGCCATTCTCCTGCTCAGCCTCCCGATATGGACTACAGGCGCGCCATACGCCTCGGCTAGTTTTTGTATTTTATAGAGACGGGGTTTCACGGCTTAGACAGGATGGTCTCGATCTCCTGACCTCGTGATCCGCCCGTCTCGGCCTCCCAGAGTGCTGGGATTACAGGCTTGAGCCACCGCGCCCGGCCTACACAGGTATTCTCTAACCTCATCCCTATCCCTTGAGGACAGGGAGGGTCCTGTGGCTCACATCCCTACATCCCTGGCTACAGATAATTACCACTTGAAGAACTTTGCTTTTTTTTTTTTTCTTTTTGAGGCAGAGTCTTACTCTGTTGTCCAGGCTACAGTGCAGTGGCGCGGTCCTGAGTAACTGGGATTACTGGCGTGCGCCACTACACCTGGCTAATTTTTGTATTTTTAGTAGAGATGGGGTTTCACAATGTTGGTCAGTTTGGTCTCGAACGCCTGACCCTGTGATCTGCCCGCCTCAGCCTCCCAAGGTGCTGGGATTACAGATGTGAGCCACCGCGCCCAGACCACCACTTGGAAAACTTTCAACTAATACTGATGGCCAGACCCCAGCCCAGATAATTTGATAACTGGTCTCTGGTGGAGCCCGAGCATCTATATTATTATTGTTATTTAGAGACAGGGTTTCGCTATGCCGCACAGGCTGGACTCGGCATCTATCCATATATTTTTTTGAGACAGGGTCACACTCTGTCGCCCAGGCTGGAGTGCAGTGGCATGATCAAAACTCATTGCAGGCTTGATCTCTCAGGCTCAAGTGACTCTCCCACCTCAACTCCCCAAGTAGCTAGGGCTATAGGTGCATGCCACCATACTCAGCTAATTTTATATTTTTTTGTAGAATGGGGTTACCCTTTCATTGCCCAGGCTCAACTTTTTTTTTTTTTTTTTTTTTTTGAGCGGAAGTCTCGCTCTGTCCTTCGCCTAGGCTGGAGTGCAGCGGCCCCAATCTCGCTCCACTGCAACTCCGCCTCCCGAGGTTCACCGCCATCTCACTCCGCCCAGCACTACCCAAGTAACTGGGACTGACAGCTGCCCGCCACACGCCCGCTATTTCTGTGATTATTTAGTAGAGACGGGGTTTCACCGATTAACAGGATGGTCTCTATCTCCTGACCTCGTGATCCGCCCGCCTCGGCCTCCCAAAGTGCTGGGATTACAGGCGTGAGCCACCACGCCCGGCCACACCAAGCTAATGTTAAACTCCTGGGCTCAAGTGATCCTCCCCCCTCAGCCTCCCAAAGTGCTGGCATTATAGGCATGAGCCACCACACCTGACCTTTTTTTGTTTTTTTTGAGACAGAGTCTCCTCTGTTACCCGGGCTGGAGTGCACTGGCTAGCGGATTGGATGGCCACATTTCCATCACCCCAAAGCATTCCTTATCTCCCTTCCCAGTCAATTTCCATCTCCCTCTCCAGCCCCAGACATCCACTAATCTGCATTGTCTGCATTGGTTTTGCTTGCTCTGGAGTTTCATATGAATGGAATCATGCTGGACATCGCCTTTCACTCAGCTTCTTTTTAGTAGAGATGGGGTTTCACCGTGTTGGCCAGGCTGGTCTCGAACTCCTGACTTTGTGATCCACCCGCCTTGGCCTCTCAAAGTGCTGGGATTACTGGCGTGAGCCACCGCTCCCGGCCCTAATTTTTGTATGTTTCCAGTTTAGGGCTAATTATGCAACTCTTTCTTTCTAAAATCTTCTGAAGTATTGTGATGTGCTACCAGAGTTGAGTTCAGAACCGTGGAGCCACCAAGGAAGAAACTTCCATAGGGGGGAAATGACTGTACCCTCTCTTTTCTGCAGGGAATGCCTTTCTGCAGCAGTGTCAGCAGTGATTTTATTGTAGAATCCTATTTTCTTTTCTTTTCTTTTTTATTTTTTTGAGATGGAGTCTTGCTCTGTTGCCCAGGCTGGAGCCATCTTTGTTCACGGCAACCTCCACCTACCGGGTTCAAGAGATTCTCCTGCCTCAGCCTCCTGAGTAGCTGGGATTACAGGTGTGTGCCACCACACCACCTGGCTACTATTTGTATTTTTTTAGTAGAGACAGGGTTTTACCATGTTGGCCAGGCTGGTCTTGAACTCCTGACCTCAGGTGATCTGCCTGCCTTGGTCTCCCAAAGTGCTAGGATTACAGGCGTGAGCCACCGGGCCTGGCCGAGAATCCTATTTTCAAGAACTGCTATTTAAAAGAACCAAGCTTAAGGAAGAGGAAAACACCTTTCTATAGAGTGCTCAGCCCCTCCCCAATCTATCTGGGACTCAATTTGGTTTTGCTGGATTGGGGGGTGTGTGCTTTTGGGGAGAAACACGCACCTGCAGGTATATTCACTGCCTGCTTCCATCATAACTGCACCCCAATCCCCAGTAACTAAGTAGGTATATATTAAGCTTAGGTAAATTGAATCCAGGTGTGTCATACTTATGTGAGAAATTTTACCAGTATGTCCTGAGGCTTCTATTTTTTTTTTTTTTTTTTTGAGATAGTCTTGCTTTGTCACCCAGGCTGGAGTGCAGTGGCACAGTCTTGGCTCACTATAACCTCCACCTCCCTGGTTCAAGCAATTCCCCTGCCTCAGCCTCCCGAGTAGTTAGAATTACAGGCGCATGCCACCACGCACGGCTTTTTTGTATTTTTAGTAGAGACAGAGTTTCACAATGTTGGCCAGACTGGTTTTGAACTCTTGACCTCAGGCAATCCGCCCGCCTCGGCCGCCCAACATGCTGAGATTACAGGCATGAGCCACCGCGCCCGACATAGGCTTCTGATTTTTAAAATTTCCCCTATCAGGTTAATTTTTTAATATTTGTTTTAATTTTTTTTTTTTTTTTTTTAAGAGACAGGGTCTCTATCACCCAGTCTGGAGTGCAGTGGTGCAGTCATAGCTCACTGAAGCCTCAACCTGGGTTCAAGTGATCCTCCTACCTTAGCCTTTGGAGTAGCAGGGACCACAGGTACAAGCCACCACACCACATTAAAAAAAAAAACCCACACAAAAATTGGATACATGGGGTCTCAATTTGTTGCCCAGGCTGGTCTCAAATTCCTGGCTTCACGTGAATGGGATTACAGGGGAAGGTTCATTTTTCATCTCTCCATTACACCTGTCCACTCTGCCGCCACTCGTCAGCTGTCATTACTAATAGATAAATTAGGCTTTAAATGAACTTAGGAAGCCTGGAAAGAGAAATAGGGACTTGGGCCGGGCGCGGCAGGTCACGCCTGTGATCTCAGCACTTTGGAAGGACTTGGCCAGAGGATAGCTTTTGAGTTTGAGGAGTTTGAGACCAGGCCGGGCAACAGCCCGACTCCACAAAACAAAAAAAAAAGAAAAGAAAAACAAGGGCTTTCACGGTCACTCAGACTTGGCGAGGACGCTTGGGTCTGACGCCTTCCACTGAGTTTATTTTTCTGAGCTTCAGCGTTCTCTCCAACATGGGTTTACGTATCTCCTGGGGATGCTTTAGAGGGCCTAGGAGATTAAGCCTGGTTTCTTTAATAGTTTGCTATTCGCTGATTCCCGGCCTCCTCGCGGCTTGGCCTACCGCGCTAGTGTTCTGGACTAACGAACGAACGGCTCACTCAATTCAAACACGAGTCCCAGCCTGGAAAAGGCCGAGTCGGCGGTTAAAAAAAAAAAAACCTTTCCCCTCCCGACCCTCCGCAGATGTCGCCCCCTCACTCCGCCGAGGCTAGCCCTGCCTCTCTCAAGATGGCGACCTGGAAGTGCGTCGCCCGGGCCAGCCCCGGAAATCTCGTGTTAGGCGAGGCCAACGGATAGGTTCTCGCGAGAGGACCCGTCAGCCCCAGCCGGGCGTCGTGCGAACAGCAGCTGGTACCAAAGGCGGAGGTGGAGCCCGAGCGGTAAGTGCGTGTGCAGAGGTGGCAGTTCCGGGGGCCGCCGGACGCCGAGGAGGTGTAGAGAACAGATTTGGAAACTGGGGAGGTCTAGCATGTGGCGTAGGAGGGGGTCCGCACTCCAGTTCGCGATTGCCAAAACAAGCCTGCCGGAAGCGCGCTAAGGGGTTTTCTTCTCCCAGGGAACCAGCGGGGAAACTGAGGCTCGGGGTGGCGAGCCGGACTGTGGGACGCGCTGAGGCTGCTGTCTTTCCCAGCAGCAGCGGAAGATGTCGGACAGCGAGGACAGCAACTTTTCCGAGGAGGAGGACAGCGAGCGCAGCAGTGACGGCGAGGAGGCCGAGGTCTGTGGCTGGGGCGCCGGGGGAGACATTGCACCTGGGGGCAGGACTCCGGGTAGAAAGCCCACTGTGGGAGGCTCGAGGGGTTCACAGCGGACTCTGGCTTCTGGGAACTCCCAGATTATCGCAAGAGATAGAGAATTAGGCAAGTCGAAGACAAGTAAGGGGACAGGTTCTGAAGGCGAGAAATGTGTTAGGTCTAGTGAAATAACAGGTGATGTTTTTAAAGTTTACTCTGTGTGCATATAGTAAGCACTTAGCATTAGTTGTTTTTTTTTTTGATTACGTCTAGTCATTCCAGAAATTTATTTGTAGTGCCCACTACGTACCAGGTGCAATTCTTTGTCTTTGGGGTACACCAGTAAACAAAGCAGATTTTAAAAATGTCTGCCTTCGGGAATGTAAATAAATATAGCCAAGGAATGGACTATATAGTAAGCTAGAAGGTACTCTGGAGAAAAGGAGAACAGAAAAGGGGAATGGAGAGTCCTGGTTGCACTTGCAATAGGGTCATCAGCATGACTTGTTGGAGGTGAGGGAGTGAGTCGTGGTTAGCTGGAAGTGGAGTATTCCAGTGAGGGGGACCAGCAGGTACAAAGATGGAAGTGTGTCTGCCGTGTTCAAGGATTAACGAGGATTTGAGAGGCCAAGCTGGGAGGTTCACTTGAGCCCAGAAGTTCGAGGGCAATCTGGGCAACGTAGTAGGGCCCTGTCTCTACAAAAATATAAAAAAATTAGCTGAGGCCGGTCTTGGTGGCTCACACCTGTAATCTCAGCACTTTGGGAGGCCAAGGCAGTGGATCACATGAGGTCAGGAGTTCAAGACCAGTCTGGCCAACATGGTGAAACCCTGTCTCTGCTAAAAATACAAAAAAATTAGCTGGGCTTGGTGCCGCCCACCTGTAATCCCAGCTACTCAGGAGGCTGAGGCTGAGAATCGCTTGAACCAGGGAGACAGAGATTGTGGTGAGCTGAGATCACGCCACTGCACTGCTGCCTGGGCGACAGAGCAAGACTCTGTCTTACAAAAATATTAGCTGAGCTTGGTGGCACGCTCCTGTAGTCCCAGTTACTTGGGAGGCCGAGGTGGGAAGATCACTTGAGCCATAAGGTGAAGGTGCAGTGAGCTGTGATGGTACCACTGCACTGCTGCCTGAGTGACAGAGTGAGACTTTGTCTCCCCACCACCGCCTAAAAAAAGGGGGTCCAGTTTGGTTGGATCAGAGTGAGTGCAACAAAGAATTTATGGGAGCCAGGTCATATAGGATCTTGAAAGCTGTGGTAAGGAATTTGGTTTTAACTGAGTAAAATGAAACCTCGAAAAAGTTTGAGCAAGTGAAGATATGATCTAATGTTTTGAAAGGATCACTCTGGCTTTGGGTCTCTTGAGTACCTCTGTTCTGGGAACCAAAAAACCAACATTTCCTGGGGCATTTCTGATTTCAAATGTTCTTTTATTTGCCATTATTCTTTTTTTTTTTTTTGAGACAGCATCTCCATAGGTTGGCACAGGCTGGAGTGCATTGTCATGATATCGGCCCACTGCAACCTCAGCCTCCCGAGTAGCTGGGATTACAGGCATCCACCACCACATCAGGCTAATTTTTGTATTTTTAGTAGAAACGAGGTTTCCCCATGTTGGCCAGGCTGGTTTTGAACTCCTGACCTCAGGTGATCCACCCTCCTTGGCCTCCCAGAGTGCTGGATTACAGGCGTGAGCCACTGCACCAAGCCCAGTATCCTCCTTTTAAACTTATTTTCGTTTTATTCGTTCGTTGAACAAATAAGTATTTCCATCTACTACTGTGTTCCACTTACTTCCCAGGTGTCTGGTAGGAAATCTTTACTTTTTTGGAGTTGACATTTAGTAGGCAGCAATCATAAACTAGTAAATAGGTGACAGGGTGATTATAGGTCTCTTGTTTGATGCACAGAAACTTCAATTGGCTTTTTAAATAAGTTGCCAATGCTTGTGAGGGAGATTTATCATAAAGATTAAGATTTCTTGCTTTTTCTAGGAAAGTGGAAGGAGCTGGCACGCTGGGACCCAGGGTTGTTCTGCAGAGCAGCCGTTTGCTTGATGAGTGGCTGTCCTACTTACAGCTGGGAATTTTCTCCAATTCCCAGGATATGTTAGTTGCCATTTATCATCTTGCTTGCCTCGTGGCAGAGTGAAGGAAAGGAAGAGATTTCACGTGGCTGTGTTCTGGAAATTGTTTGGTAGATGGAGAGTGCCATGTGTTTTGGGTGATTTGTCCCACTCATTTATGTTGCCTGCTTATCCTGTGTGGACATTTGATTGCCAGTCTTTGTTGTGCCCTTTGAGGAGGTGCCTGGTAGTGAATAGTTGGAGAAATTGGGATGCTGTGGTGCGGGAGGGATGAGTGGGAGAGTGACAGGGAGGGCCTTTTCTCTAAGCTGTAGCACTGGATTCTTGGTCTCTGATTCATGGCTTGGAGACACTGCTTGTTGGTTAAAGTCTGGTAGAAATGAGACCAAGATCCCCAGTTCCATTTCCTGTCTGGGACATTCTCGTTTGTGCTGTACTAGTCTCATTTCCCCAGCACTACACCATACTTGACTCCTCCCTGCTGGCTCCTCTTCAGTTACCAGGTGAGGCAGGAGGGCAGTGTGAGGCCTGTCCCCACCGCCAGGGACAGGATTGGATGACCTTTTCAGACAGCCAAATGGTGACATAGTCCTTGCAGGACAGGGTTCTGTGGCTAGACAGGTAGGGATGGATGACAAATAATGAGCTACTTTTGAAGGGAGCTGCTGGTTCACCCATCACAGCTACAGTAACTTGTTCATTTATTTCAACAAATGTTCCTTGACTTGTCATGTTGGGGTCATAGCCTCCCTTACGGAGATCTCAGTCTCAGGGCAGAGAGAGTTTTATAGATACACAGTTACTGCAGGGGATGTTGAGGACAGTAAGAGCACATCCAAGCCCTGAGGTGATGCAGAGAGTGGCGCGGACTCTCTCCACTGGGAGGGAGGAGCCAGGTTTGTAAAGAGGCTTCTCTGGGACCTGGCAGAGGGGGACTGATGACAAGGTTCCTAGAAATCAGCCTGTGGTCCTGTCATAGTTTGGGTTGTTAAAACGCGCTTCATTGTGGCTAGTCAAGATTATGTGTTAAGCAAATATTTCTGAAGTCTTCTGTGCTTGGCCCTGGGCTGGGTGATGTTGGGAGACCCAGCTGTGCCTGAGATGAACTGGACCCTACTATTGGGAGGCTCACGGTGGTCAGGGCTGTGATGGAGGGAGCACAGAGAATTGTGAGCGTAGAGGATGTGCCTGACTCTGCTCGGGGGAGAGGGGGCGGGGGTGGCTGCCTGCAGGAGGAAGGTTTTTTTTTTTTTTTTTTTTGAGATGGTGTCTTGCTCTGTCACCCAGGCTGGAGTGCAGTGGCGTGATCTCGGCTCACTGCAGCCTCTACCTCATGGTTAAGCAATTCTCATCTCTCAGCTTCCTGAGTAGCTGGGATTACAGGGGTACGCCACCACACCTGGCTAATTTTTATATTTTTGGTAGAGAGGGAGTTTCACCATGTTGGCCAAGCCGGTCTTGGAACTCCTGACCTCAAGTGATTGCCTGCCTCAGCTTCCCAAAGTGCTGGGATTACAGGCATGAGCCATCTTGCTCAGCCATTTTTTTTTTTTTTTTTTTTTGAGACGGAGTCTGGCTCTGTCGCCCGGGCTGGAGTGCAGTGGCCAGATCTCAGCTCACTGCAAGCTCCGCCCCCTGGGTTTACGCCATTCTCCTGCCTCAGCCTCCCGAGTAGTTAGAATTACAGGCGCATGCCACCACGCACGGCTTTTTTGTATTTTTAGTAGAGACAGAGTTTCACAATGTTGGCCAGACTGGTTTTGAACTCTTGACCTCAGGCAATCCGCCCGCCTCGGCCGCCCAACATGCTGAGATTACAGGCATGAGCCACCGCGCCCGACATAGGCTTCTGATTTTTAAAATTTCCCCTATCAGGTTAATTTTTTAATATTTGTTTTAATTTTTTTTTTTTTTTTTTTAAGAGACAGGGTCTCTATCACCCAGTCTGGAGTGCAGTGGTGCAGTCATAGCTCACTGAAGCCTCAACCTGGGTTCAAGTGATCCTCCTACCTTAGCCTTTGGAGTAGCAGGGACCACAGGTACAAGCCACCACACCACATTAAAAAAAAAAACCCACACAAAAATTGGATACATGGGGTCTCAATTTGTTGCCCAGGCTGGTCTCAAATTCCTGGCTTCACGTGAATGGGATTACAGGGGAAGGTTCATTTTTCATCTCTCCATTACACCTGTCCACTCTGCCGCCACTCGTCAGCTGTCATTACTAATAGATAAATTAGGCTTTAAATGAACTTAGGAAGCCTGGAAAGAGAAATAGGGACTTGGGCCGGGCGCGGCAGGTCACGCCTGTGATCTCAGCACTTTGGAAGGACTTGGCCAGAGGATAGCTTTTGAGTTTGAGGAGTTTGAGACCAGGCCGGGCAACAGCCCGACTCCACAAAACAAAAAAAAAAGAAAAGAAAAACAAGGGCTTTCACGGTCACTCAGACTTGGCGAGGACGCTTGGGTCTGACGCCTTCCACTGAGTTTATTTTTCTGAGCTTCAGCGTTCTCTCCAACATGGGTTTACGTATCTCCTGGGGATGCTTTAGAGGGCCTAGGAGATTAAGCCTGGTTTCTTTAATAGTTTGCTATTCGCTGATTCCCGGCCTCCTCGCGGCTTGGCCTACCGCGCTAGTGTTCTGGACTAACGAACGAACGGCTCACTCAATTCAAACACGAGTCCCAGCCTGGAAAAGGCCGAGTCGGCGGTTAAAAAAAAAAAAACCTTTCCCCTCCCGACCCTCCGCAGATGTCGCCCCCTCACTCCGCCGAGGCTAGCCCTGCCTCTCTCAAGATGGCGACCTGGAAGTGCGTCGCCCGGGCCAGCCCCGGAAATCTCGTGTTAGGCGAGGCCAACGGATAGGTTCTCGCGAGAGGACCCGTCAGCCCCA